CTGCGATTGCCATGGCCATTGCCATGGGTTGACGTTGACCCAGTTGCGCTGCCGCAACTCAAGCGAGCCAAAAAGAGTCAAAGAGTCGGCACTTGAGGCGCAGGCGCAGACCCCGAAACTGGAAACCTGACCGTTTGTTGAATGTACATTTGTGTAGGCATGTGCGTGTGTGTGTGCGCGCGTAAGTATTTACGGAGAAAGAACAAATTGAATTATGTGTGTAAAGTAAAAAAAATAGCTGAAAAAAAATCAACACTCACTCACAATTCGGTGGCATTAAGACGTTGTCAACGTCGACAGCGCATAAGTTGATTAAATTTCTCGCATTAGCCGATTTTCACCCATTGGTGAAACTGTGGAAGCAATGCAGCAACAACTACAACAACAACAACTACGACAACAACAACGGCAGCAACGTAAGCTAAGAATGATTGATGAGAATTCGGTCTAGCCGAATTTCTAACGGAAGCGTGCAACCTGTTTGGTCCATATAACCATTGTTGAATTGTTATTGGAACTGTTTGTTGGACAGTTTTGAATAGTGTCGAACCTGTGAAACGATCTTTCGAGCCAGATTATAATCAAGCACATCCACTTTCAATAATAATGGCCACACAAAGTGTCAGCGACGAAGAAAGTGAAATGTGAACATTTCGACATTTGGAAATGTTTATCAACATAAAAAAAAAAATAAAACAGTAAAAACAGTAAGAGATGCCAGCGAAATGGAAAGTTTATTTTTCGTAAAAAAAAAAAACTAGAAGATCGAAAAAAGCTTCCAAACAATGCAGCTTTAAAAAAAAAAAAATCAACCAATTTCCTAAATTTGAAAGTATTTATTCATTTATTTATTATTTTTTCGCACACGTCTGGCTAGCGAGATGTCATAATTATGTTGCTGAGTTATTCGTTTAGACTCGGAGGTAAATTTATGCAATCCATTGATGGAATGAACTGCGGTAAAAGTAGCTCAATATGAGCGCGCACTCATGAATGAAAATAATTGTATAATATATATAGTAAGTAATTGTTTCGCATGCATTAATATGCAATATGCAGCACAGCTTTGCAATTTCATAATCATTCTAACGGCTTTTCGCCTTGAACGCCTTATTAGAGCAGAACAACAACAGCAAGCGGCAGTGGCAGTGGCAGAGCTAGAGACGACAACAGCAGCGATAAGCCTTTAAAATGTTGGTAAGCGTCACCAAAGTTCCGTACGCGGAACTTTGGAGCTTGGAACCAAAAAGTGCATTTCATTTGGAATGACTAGCCGAACGACACTGCAGCAAGCTCTTCTGCACGCGAATGGGATGGGATGGGATGGGAGGCGGGCGGGTGGGCTTAGTCATTAAAAGCATTAACCGTTACGCTTTAACCAAACTAAATATGTATGCAATTAAAAGCAAACAAATCTCAAGCCGTCGCTCTTTCCCAGCCATGTGTGAGCAAGTGTGTGAGCCAGTGTGGGTCTGCGTGTGTATAGACTGGAACAGAATTTGGCTGGAATWGCTWATTTGATTCACAGGCTTGCGAGCTGCAACAAATTTTGTGTAGTCACCCTGTGTATATGTATTTATTGTTGCTGCTCTTACTGCTGTTATACTGCTAACAGCTTTGAGTAAGTGCTAAACGGTTATTTTGACAGTGCTGCCAGACAAATTTACAAAAAATGTATAATAATAAAAACAACAAAATGACGTTGACTGATTATTAAACGGTTTTTTGATATTAGTTTGGTAAATTGAATAAACATTTGGCGCGCAAGCAGTAACTGTGTAGTCACCCTGTGCTGTTAGAAAGGTTAAATAGCGAGTTTTTTCCAATTGGATTTGATTTCGTATTGTGTAATGTCGGCAATTGAATGACATTTAAAGCTATCTCTAATAGTTTTATAGTCATCCTGGGTTGTGGCGAAGCGGCTTTAATTAGTGTTGTGTAATGTAAGAATGTAAACGAACAATAAAATGAAGTTGAGGTAGCTATAAAAATATCCAATCCCAGCTGAAAGTGTGCACAACAAATGCAAATAAGAGGCGCACAAGGTTTTCATAGTATGCGGCAGAGAAAAGGAGAGAGGAGGGGAGATAGAAAGAGAGAGCGAGATGCATAGATAAGAACCAAAGACCAAGTGTAATTAAAGCCACGATCAAAATGCAAGACACGCCGATGAGCGACTGCATTTCATTTTCTTCTTTCCTTCTACTTTTTCTCTCGCTCTCTATACCCTGAACCCATTTAATTGCGGGGTATAATAGTTTTATGAATATGTATGCAACAGGCAGATGAAGGCGTGGAAGACTTGAGTAAATATATCTTGATCAGGACGACAAGTATAATTCGTTTGGGGTCGCAGGGTATCTCCATGTCAGGTACTCCCCATTTCGTACTTCTTATTTATGTGTTGTTATTTCCCCAAGTGCATTTGCTTTACCGCTGCTGCTGTTGCTGTTGCTGTTGCTGCACCGACTCACAATTTGAGGTCGGCGAGACGCGGCTCGGCTGGCGAAACAAAAGATCGGCCCATTAGCTGCGATTTTTACATCATTTGAATGCAATTTAGCTGCAGTTTAGCGTTATGTTCTATTTCTCTGCCCAGCTCGAAGCGAAGCAGTCGCTACGATGTCCAACTCGCCGTCCGTCTGCCTCTCAGTCTGTCATTTATTTTCATTGTCTTTCTCGCCGCGAATCGTGCGGCACAGTTGACCAGCAAAAGATGCCAACGTCAATTGTAATTTGGGTTAGCTCATAATGATCGAGTCGATCTTTCTTGCCAATTTGCGATTCTACACAGTTTCAGTGTGTTTATATTGTATGTATGTGTGTGTGTGTGTGTGGGTGTAAACTGGAAAAGAAGTAAGGGAAAGAGGGGAAAGCGGAGAGGTCTTCAAAGGGAGTTTGCGACGCAGGCATCGAGCTTAACGAGCGAAAGTGTTTGATTAACGCAGAATTTTGTTCGCAAAAAATGAAATCAAGCACAACAAAAAATATAAATCATAAAGCGGACAATACAAAAAATTTACATAATTTATAATCTAGAGAAATTACCGAAAAAAAAGAAAATAAAAATAAACTAAATTGTTTAAATGGAAATTGATAAGAAAAGAGAAGAATGAAAAAATTGATAAAAATAGATTTATACATGAATTATATATACGCATATATGCAAATTAAATATTTACATATTTTATATTACTTTTTACATAATTTTCTATTCTATATACTTTATATATTTTCATATAAAAAGTCTTTATGCGATTTTTCTTTTCTTATCAGAAAACGCAACATGTTTTCCATTAGTATTTTTCTCTTTTATCAAAAATAATTACGAAGAAGAAAGATATTTTTCAATTAGTATTTCTCTTTTGATCCACTTCCGTCACGAAAACTGAAAACTGAAAATTATAACGAGTGAAACTGAAAATTAAGCTCAGGCGGCAAAAAAATAAAATAAAAAAAAAACTGTCGTCTCTTTGACACCGATTTTGAGGGGGGCGTGGCCAATTGCATGCCAGACCAAGAAAAGCCAACGATTTCAACTAATTTTCAGCTGTCTTCGACTTGATTTTAGTTTTAGTTTTGCCTTTGGTTTTGGTTATTCTGCATGTTGATAGCTGATTCATGATGTCGGACTTTCACAATTTTGCTAAGCGAAATTTCGGATCGATTTGTATATCGATTTTGTTAAATGAGTCAGTGTCTTGTAAGATGTGTTACAGCTTCCGCATTTGTTTCTAACAGTTTGCCCCATTTATAAATCAATTTCCGGCAAGTCGTTTTGCTTAATTGTCCAGTTTAGCATATTAGTTATCGGATTGGAGCGATCTACAAGGCATAATAATAATGGAGCAACGGGTTCCATTGACGCCAATTGGCCCACTTCATCAAATGTTGTTCGTAATTGCTCACGGTTAGCGACATTAAGAACAAATGGACAAAGAGAATGTTGGCAGCGATATTCTCTATTCTACATTGTTTATCTGAAATTAAAGCTGTAGACTGTAGAAGCGTATTAAACTTTGTTGGTCAGTTCGCCCTTTGCTTTGTTTTCTTTCAGTTGCTTTTCGTATTTTCTAATTTTTCAACATTTTATAGCACCTGGAGCATATGAGTCTTGTCTTTTATGGCCCAGCGTTTCTTTATGCCTTTAGTTTTTATCGCTTTTATTGCGAAGAAAATCATATTTTCTGCTACTTCTTTGAACATGTTCGGTAATGTAACCAGTTTTGTACCTTCAACTTTAAGTGCGACCACTTTTTTCTAGCTTAATGCATGTCTAACTAGTTTATGAACAGGGAGCAACTAACTACGAATCATTTTTCGTTAAGCGGAGCAAATGAACTCAACAAAAATGCAAGAAATTTAAGCAAAATATCAAATATATGAAATATTTTTACAAATGCTCAATCATATTTGACATTCTTCTCAGTATGAACTTACCAATTAGTTTATTCGCTATAGTCCAATTGAGTTTTGCAGTTGTTTAGTTCCATTTGACTAAGTTCTAATTTTAATTCACACTATATCAGTTAAATACTTTCCAATGAGAAGCATGCATTAAGGCAATCGATCAATGAAACACACTTGCAGATTTATATACACCAAATATGTTTTTCATCTACTATTTGAACGGTACAGATATTCACGTCAAACGATTTTCAAAGACATTTTTTCCGGAAGACAACTGAACGCGCCCGAAGCTCTAAGAAAACTAAAATCCAATACGAATCACAGCCAGACCTGCAAAAGAGAGTAAAAGATGAGCCCGGCGCGCAGGTCAAAGAGACATTGACAGTTACACAGGCGCAGTGAACGACGCTCGCTCTCAGTCGCTCTCACACTGTCTTCTTTCGACGCGCTCGTGTCGATCGAGTTGGCAGGTCGTACGCTCTCAGTTTGTTGAGTGAGCGCACTTAAATTAAGTTGGCAGTCTTTGTCGCGCCAAAGTAAATTTCAAACAAATAAATTAACAAATATATTAACGAAACAAATTTAGCACATTTATTAGTTATTTATTTTATACATTTGTGAATAACATAGTTTATACAACAAGCAATTGAGCTACATTTATCCCTCGACGAGTTTGTTGTCCCACGACTTGGCAATCATTGCAATGGCATGTCGCTTCAGTTTTGGCCCAATCAATGGGTTCATTTGGGCCATGTAGCAGCACAGCCAGAAAAGCCAGCAACAAGCCGCAGTCAGCATCAGGATGCAGCGTATTAAATTTTGATGTGGACCTTTTGGTGTCATAACGGGCATTGCAATACCCACACCACCCCAAACGGCAGTGAAAAACAACACGGGGAAGAATGCAGCACCCATATTTTAAATAATTAACTTTTTACTTGCTGACTGGCACGTATATTTAATAAAATACAATTTTGATCTAACACCAAATGTTGTTTGCTTCCAATAAGAATTCTGTTCGTAAAATCAATAAAATACCGATATAAGAACTTACAAGTGTAATCGATAGCTTGTAATTTAGGATACCAGCTATTCGATACATTCTGTCGAATATAACTGGAGGTTGCGGTGGTAGATGAGGCTGTGGTGCGTCACAGTTGTAATTTCGTTAAAATTGATTTAAAAACTGCAAAAAATGAAACCTTAACATTTCAGGTAAGCATATCACTTATTTAGTATATGTAATTCGTTGAATATATACATATTTCTAGGTGCAATTATGTTTTCTGTCAATTGACCTTGGCTGTTTATGCTTTTGCGCTAAATTATTGACAGCGACGATGTGGTACACAATTTAAAGTTCGCTTTCACATGATGAGCTGGGATTACCAAAAATATGTCTGTGCAGTCGAAGGCTGCGGTAAAAAGTTTAATACAAAATGGACTTTAAAGCGACATTCAGCCAAACACCAGAAGGGCTCCACTACACTATACTATTGCACAAAATGCAACAAATCCTTTTCTCGCAAAGATTCATTAGATCGACACAATCAGTAAGTCTATTAATTATTCATTTCATAAACTAATTTCAAATCCATTCCCTCATCATTAGCATGAGCCACAGCGACATATTATTAATGTATATGTGCCCAGAGAAAGGCTGTGGAAAGCTGTTTAGTCTTAAATCCACGCTCTATCGTCATATATCTTCGCATACAGAGTGCTTCAAATGCGTAGAGTGTGGCAGTAGTTTTTCACGGAAGGACAATTTGACTAGACACAAGACGTAATTAATTGTAGCTTAACTGTTTTATAATTGACTTACATATTTTTAAGTTATCCCTATAGTATTCATACGAAAAACCTATCGAGCCATCGCGAGAAGTCTATCGAATCTGATGCGGCTGCCAATCTTACTATTGAGCAAATCCCTATCCTGGAAAATACAATGGAATGCAATGATGTAGACGATGATCGGATATATATGGTCTTGAATAGCTAAATACTGTAAACCTATCAAAAATCAAAATCAAGCATCTCAACCGCCCAAAAGTATTGATACTAACTTATAAGAAAATCATTGAATGATCAAATAAAGTAAAATTAAAAAATAGTTTCTTTGTAGCTGCAAACCATCACTGATCGTAAATAATTTGCATTTTCGACAATCTAGTTAATGAACACATATCGAAAATCAAATACAACCTCAGCCGCCCAACAACCCATACAACACTGAGTTCCAATACCTATCGATATTTATTTATAACATGTTTATCGCAATTATATAGTGTAAAAGACATTTTTTATAAAATCTTACGCTTGAAAAAGAAAGTTAGCAAAATGACGATGAGACCGGATGATCACCGAAGAAAATGGAACAAAAACGAGTACGAAAAGTTGGCACAAGAGCGCCTGCTTAACCAAGCAGCGCCAAAGGACGAAGGTAGGGCAAACATTGTACCTTCCATAAGCAGGGAATCCATTAATAGAACTTTATTGATTCTGTTTTAAATAGAGCCCGTGCAGCGCGAGAATCTGAAGAGACGTGACTATAAGGTTGACCTGGACAGTAAGTTGGGCAAAAGCGTCGTGATAAACAAAAACACACCTACCTCACAATCTGGCGGCTACTACTGTAATGTTTGCGACTGTGTCGTCAAGGATTCAATTAACTTTCTGGATCACATCAATGGAAAGAAGCATCAGCGTAATCTGGGCATGTCCATGAAAGTGGAGCGCAGCACCGTCGACCAGGTGAAAGATCGCTTTCAGCAGAACAAACAAAAAATGGCCGAAAAACAAAAAGACTATGAACTGGAGAAGAGATTACGCGAGGCCAAGGAGGAGGAGGAACGCTACAAGGAACATCGGAAGGAGAAGCGAAAAGAACGGAAACGTAAAGCCGAGGATAATGATGAATTTGCAACGACTGGTCTGCCCGACGATATGGCTGCTATAATGGGCTTCTCTGGATTTGGCGGATCAAAGAAAAATTCATAGGAATCAATTGATATGTTGACCTCAATAGAACATACAATATATATAAAAAGAGATTTTCCACCAACGAAGCCATTTATTGGGCTAATCGCTATGACTGTGATTGGTTTGCGACATTTATTTCATTTTATATATATTATATTATATGTATATGTACTTTTGTGTGAATATGTATAAGACAATTTTACACCAGTTATTTATTGTATTGTACAACAGGGCTTTGACCAAGTTAATAATTTAATAAGCAGTTAAAATGCACTAATTCTTAAACTAAATATTGTGGACCCCCGAAAAAAAAAAAACACTCGAATACCATAGTTTTTTTTTTGTGACTGCCAAAAACAATAAATGCGTGGGGTCTTAAGTAAATACAAAGCCATGCTCGATGGGTATGTCCCATGGAATGGTGAAGAACTCGCCCGGCAGCTGAGTGCAATGCGACGAATTGTAATCGCGTAAATGCTTACGCAGCTGTATAAATTATAAATATTATTATGATGAGCAATAGATGTTTTTATAATAAATTGTAGACCTACCAAAAAGAGTGCCATTTGACTACGAGTTTCCTCATTGTATTCGGCTCCAATCAGCATGGGATAGGACTTGCCTTCATCGGAGGCATAGGTTATAAGACGAGACATGCACAGCTTCTCTTCGGCCAAGCTATAGCTGTACGACTCCAAGGGCTTTGCAAGCAATGCCTTGGCATGCGACAGCTGTGGTGCCTTAAACAAATTGGGATAACGATATTGGAGCACTCCAAGCGTGAGATAATTGCCGCGATTCGTGTCAATACGATTGTCCCTGCAAAAGGCAAAGTAATATGAAATAAACTAAATATACAAACGAAAACTGACGTTAACCCTACTCGGCTATAATCTCATCCTCTGTTCGACGTATGAACAGCAGCGGTCCATTGTACTTAACAGCCAATTCAACATTATTCAGATTGCAATGCTTGCGTATGGCAATGCGAACGATGCCGCCCAAGCTGGCGGGCATACGTGGCTGAGCCAGGTAGAGCACATCATCGAAGGTGGCATCCAATACCTGAAACAAATATAATTTAATTAAAAATTGTTATCCACAGACGCGCTATTTATCACTTACCACACCCTTAACATCGGGATAAATGGTGGCAGCCCACAATGTGCTAAAGCCGCCAATGCTCCAACCGAACAATAAAATATCCTCAATGCCAAAGCCCAGATGATTGATAGCGAAACGCACCACAGCATCGATGGCATTCTTATCCTGATCCGGTTTCGGTTGACCAGTGCTGCCGGCAAAGCCCGGATGATTCCAACCCAACACTGAGTATTTTAATGCAATTGGTGTGCCCATTATGCCGACTTCATAGAAGCCAGCATTACCCTCGGAGCAGATGACTAGAGTCTTGCCATTGCCCACATTATCATTGCGATTGTCAATAAAGAGAGTATCGATTTCATTTGAATCAATTGTCTTTACTTTATAGCGAATGCCATTGTCGTCTTCGATGAGCTTGGCGCGGCCAGAGATCAAGGCGGGCCCTGTAAAGGAGAATTGATTAGTTCTAGATTAACGGTATTATATTGCATTATCGCTGCTCTGTCGGGGAAAACATGCAGACGTACTCATGAACTTCTGCAGCAACTTCACGGAGCCGGGATAGATCAGAGACAGCCCAAAGGTGTGTATGGCTACATAGGCAAGCAACTCGCACGGCAAAGTGGCAATGCTCAACCTTTCGCGACGACTTACAGTGGTCGTGGGCTTCTTGGCATCACTGACAGATAAATATTCATATAATATATAGTTTGAGACAGTATTTGCTTTGACACTCACCCCGCTATGGCCTTCACATCAAAATCCACTGGCCATGCAGAGAAGTCAATGTCAAATCGACGCAGTGCATCCGACGATCTATTCTCTTTAGCCGAATTTAAAGCATTTATCATGTTCGTATATGCACGCGACTGTCGACGTCCAACGCCGCGCATAAATAAAGAGATGATGACTATCAATCCAACGCTCGTTGTGAGCTTTGCGAGCGTTGGAATCGAATCAGCGACGAAATAGCCGCGCCTATAGAGGAATGTGAAGATCAGCGGTGACGTATAATAGCTGACCGACCAAACCACAGACAGCTGCATCAACAAAATACTAATTAGTTCTGGTATTACTACACGTAAACAGGCACACAACAAACTGCCACTCACACACATGCACACAGACACCTCTTACCGTTGACAAGATTTGTTCACCAAATTTTTCAGCTGCACCGGGCTCATACATTTTCCTCTACAATAGGAAAAAATGATTAGAATTTACCATACACAATTTGTTTATCTCATACCTGAGGTTCAGGTACACCTCTGTACTCCATGTACAATTTTGGCCCGAATATATAATTAAAGAAACTCATTTTGCAAATATTTACTTGCGTCTGCGTCTGAAAAATATTATTATATATTTTTTACTGAAATGTGAAAGTGAGCTTGTGAAACGCAGCTGCAATCGCAATATGAACTAGTTCGCTATACGTGATAGAGATGTGCGCGTGCTGCCACGAACAAACTACGAAAATGTTATTCTTCTCTGAGCGAAAAGTACAATTTTTAAGTCGTGAAAACTATTTTCATTTACAATTGATATTTTAGTTTTGCTAAAGAAAAGAAGCAAGAGCTTCTGTGATAAGTGTAGTTGTGTTGCCTAGTGCTGTGTAATGAATTACAGTAGGCCAAGGAACTGATTGGGAAGTTCACTTCATTCTGCTCCAGTTCGATTACATGAAGACATTTGTTGTTTCAATTCGGAGCAGTCGAATTGGGAATTCAGCGCAATTTTTTAGCCGGTCAAAATGGAAAAGTTTAGCAAAGCGCAAGCCAAAAACTTGGCAGCTGCACAGAAATTAGTGAATACTTACGCCTCCAGCTCCGAGGATGAAGGAGAATTGGATGAAAAGCATATTCTTGGTAAACGATACGCAAAGGCTTATGACGTGTCCACCCATTTGAATCTTTGTCTATTTTAGATCTTTTGTATAAGCATTACAAGGCTCCAGTGAATGCAGCGAGTGACAACAATATTAACCGCACCGCCACATTTCTGGAGAACACTTTGCACTCSGGCGCTGCTACGTGTCTAATTTGTATTGGCAGYATTCGACGCGTGGAGTCCATTTGGTCATGCAAGAGCTGCTATTGCTTCTTCCATCTCAATTGCATACAGCGCTGGGCCAACGACAGCGTAATGCAAATGAAGGTCAAGGCGGAGCAGCAGAACAATGGCAATCAGGGCTATTATAATCATCTGGGCGAGTTTGTGCCGCCCAAACGTACAAAATCGCTTCACTGGTGCTGTCCACAGTGTCGTAGAGATTACCAACCAGCCGATCGACCCACACAGTATGAATGTTTTTGTGGCAAGGAGGTGAATCCGCAGCCACAGCCCTTTCTTGTGCCCCACTCCTGTGGCGAGATTTGTGGCAAGCTGTTGCAGCCGAAATGTGGTCACGATTGCAAATTGCTGTGCCATCCGGGTCCTTGTCCACCCTGTGCCCAACTAGCTAACAGTTCTTGCCTCTGTGGAAAGGCGGCAATGCGGAGCGTGCGCTGCATCGACAAGAACTGGCAGTGCGAGCAAAAGGTATGTAGAGTGTCTAAGACTCTTATATGAAATCTTGTATCTTATATGAAATCCTTATTTTCAGTGTCAATTGCTTTTGTCCTGTGGCATGCACAAATGCAATCAGCGGTGTCATAGGCCTGGTCAGTGTCCGCCATGCAGCAGTAAGAGCTCACAGCCCTGCGAATGCAAACGTGAGCAGAAGGTCGTGAACTGTGCCGAGCCCAAATGGAAATGCAACAATGTAAGCAGGGTGTGATCTATAAATAGCTTCACTTATAAAATTTATTTCTCCTTATCTAGGTCTGTGGCGCTCTCTTTGCTTGTGGCATTCATACCTGTGAGAAAGTATGCCATGCAGGATCCTGTGAAGGCGCCGAGTGTCCGTTTGGCGTGCGCAGCTGTCCCTGTGGCAAGAGCGTAAGTACAAAAGCTGCTCAACTATATATAAGTGTTGATATGCTTTCTCTTATAATTTATGCAGATCAAAAGTGGAGCTTGCAACGAGCCACAGGAGACATGCGGAGACACTTGCCAGAAGCTCTTGTCTTGTGGCAAGCATTACTGCGCGCAACGCTGTCATCGCGGTGCTTGCAACTTGGTAAACTATTTAATTATTCAAGCTTGTAATTCAGCGCCATAATCTCTATATATTCTATTGCTAAAGTGCCCAGTGGTCACTAAGAAGAAATGCCGCTGCGGCCTGCATGAGAAGGAGATGCCCTGCTCCAAGGAGTTTAACTGCGAGACCAAATGCAAGCAGATGCGAGATTGTGGCAAACATGCTTGCAATCGCAAGGTACAAAACATACGCGTAGGTTTATCCAAACTTTCCTCATGTATCCTGTTTGTTTTCAGTGCTGTGGGGATCAATGTCCGCCCTGCGAGAAGATCTGCGGCAAGCAGCTGAGTTGCAACAAACATAAATGCCAGTCCGTGTGCCACAACGGACCCTGTTATCCGTGCAAGCTGGAATCGCAAGTGAATTGTCGCTGCGGCAAGACGAGACGAAGCGTGCCCTGCGGCCGCGAGAAGAACGCACGTATTGTGTGCCAGGAGCTATGCCGGTTGGTTGCTAAGCTCTTTACTAAGAAATATAACATGATTTAAATATTGTTCTACTCCTTAGCATTACGCCCAAGTGTCATCATGCCATCAAGCATCGTTGTCACAAGGGCGAATGCCCGCCCTGCGTGCAGCCTTGTGGCCTGATCAATGATTCCAGCGGCTGTGGACACATTTGCAAGGCGCGCTGCCATGCAGCTCAGCGTGTGCCTCGACCAGATCAGGCAACACGTGGAAAGCAGCATAAGGTGAGCCACAGACGTCTAAAGCCTTACAATTCGTATGTAATATGTAATTCTTGCAGTATGAGTACCGTGCTCTGCCACATCCGCGCTGCGAAGAGGGCGTCATCGTGCGCTGCATTGGCGGCCACGAGTTGGCCACTTGGCCTTGCTGGAACTCCAAGCCCACATCCTGTCAGCGTAAGTGCGCACGCCAGCTCAAGTGTGGCAATCATCAATGCGACCGCGTTTGCCATGCAGTGCCTGAGCCGGAGGATATGCACCAGCAAGCAGGCTGTGCGAATTGTGAACAGGGATGTACTATTCCTCGTCCTCCAGGCTGCACTCATGCCTGCAACAAAGGCTGTCATCCGCCACCTTGTGCTCCGTGCGCATTTGTGATAAAAACTAAATGCTACTGTGGCCTCAATCAGGTCATATACAAGTGCAGCGAGTACTTCAATGAGGAAGGCAGTCTGCAGGAGACGCTGGAGCGACGCCAAAGGTTCAACAGCTGTGGCAATCGTTGCCTCAAGAATGTGTGTACAAATTTGGAGAATATTTTATGTTTATATATAACTGTTAAATCTTGTTCACATAGTTCGACTGTGGCCACCGCTGCATAACCATATGTCATCCCGGCCCCTGTCCCAATCCGGAACTGTGTCGCAAGAAGCTACGCATCTATTGCAAGTGCAAACGCTTAAAGCAGGAAATCGCTTGCGACAAACATCGTGCGGGTCAAACGTCCCTCGATTGCGATGCCATTTGTCTGGCGGAGCGCTCCAAGGCCCAGGCCTCAGAGCAACAACAGCAGCAGCTCAAATTGCAGCAAGAGCAGGAGCGGAATAGACTGGAACTCGAGAAGTATGAGCAAAAGTTCGGCAAGCGCAAGCACAAGGAGCGCAAGACTTTGGATGTGGAGCCCACCAAGTCTAACATCAACTGGCAACGGTTAAGCATCTATGCATTATCCTTTCTGGTCGTAATGGGCGCACTGGCCGTGGCGTACTATGCAGACAGCTAGAATCAACTAAAGATGAACTGAAAAAAAAAATGCCAATGAGATTTGAATTTTATTAGTAAAAACTTTGTCAACAACTGTAAGTCCGTGTCTATTGAGTATTTGCTTGATTACAATTATCTTTAAATTTAAGCCGTCTTCGTCTTCGTCTTATAAACGCAKGCGGCGACAAACACGCTCAGACTAAGGAAAGTGGATATCAGGAAATTAGACAGCAGCATCAAATCATGAGACTGCACGTAAGCTGTGTATATGCGGGCTGCAAATAATGTTGAAAAGGGATTAGTTTCAGCAAAGCGCTTTGTATACATATTCATGTACTAACTCATATTGGTGAAGGCGGACAGCGCCCATGTCGTCCGGCTAACGGAGCTGGCGTCCTTTGTACGCAATATAGCGAGTAGTTGGAGCACTTTGCTCGTTGCTCCAATGGGCGTACAGAAAGGCTACAGAAGATTAAGCAAAGCATTATAAATTAACATTGAGGAAATGAAATTGAGTGACTATATGAGAAATTAATTGACAGATGTAAACTGTATTCAGAGAATTAAGCTCTGCTCATCCTAGTGTTTTAATTTGACTGTAAAACCTGCCCAGGTCAATAACCGAAAATTTAGATCACTGAGAAGATTACGGAATCAAGTTTTCAAGGTTTTTATAAGTTGATTATCAAGGCTATATTGTAATATATACTTTGTTTATATTTTTAATTGTTTCTACAACTTATTACTATAATCAGCTCAGCAAAAAATAGAGAGCAACAGCATTTTTTCGCTATAGGCAGCATATACTGTACGTTTGAGACACATCTCGCAGTGCAAATAGCTCTTAAAACAATTGGTCTGCGACCGTTKMTGTCTGTATATAAATAGAAGCAAGACAAATATTATAGAGCAAAACACAAATGACCTTCGCCAATGATTCAGTTAAGAGCTTCTCATTATGCTCAGCTCCAAAGACAATCAAAACAAATAAAAACAAAACAGGTTCTCTAAAACAATTATTCAACAACACATAATTAGTTAAAAAAATTGAAAAACAAAAAGGGAAAACTAGTTTGTGGAGTACGCTGTTATCTTAACGGATGGTTCTAATCAATATCGTTGCTGTTCTATGCACACATATGTATTAGCTATATATATGAGCCATTGTTGGTTGGGTTACTCACCACCAGAAACGTTAGGATGATAATTGGAAAGAGTTTCAAATAGATAAGTGTTGCGATGATTGTATAGAATATGGCAAAGACTTGTGTTCGTTTGCCTAGCATATCCTGATATTTGAAGACATAATAGATCAGCACATATTCCTGCAGCAGCAGCACAGGATACTCCATATAGGATAAGAAGTCATAGCCTGACGTGTAATTGTAGGACATCATAACGGTATAGCTGAACAGTTCCAGGCACAGGCCAAAGACACTGATGCCTGGAATCGGGTTATACGGGAATATACAGTTAATGTGTGGGCGTAACAGTTGAGTGGGCGTAGTCTCACCTTTTGACGATTTGTTTTCGCGTATCGTATTTATTTGTGGCACCTTGATGACCAGACATGATGACACCGTAATCAAACTAAGAAGATCAGCTATAATAAGCACGATTCCCTTATCCAGGTAATGGGAGACAACCTCGCCAAGACCCTCAGACGGCGCCGTTGTGTCCATTGCGGCAGCTAAACTTATATTGATGGCTCAGTTGGTTTGATTTAAATACAAACAATCGATTGCGGGCGGCTGTGCCTTTCAATGTGCATCTGCAGCCGTATTTCCTCTTTAAAGATATCTTCAACTCATTGTAATGCATTGACCTCTAATTGGCTGTTGTTCTTACAACGTATGATCAAATCTGATTTTCATAGTGAATTTTTTATTATAAACGAAATCAAAATAATAAGTAAATAAAATATTATCGAATAGCACTACTCAGTGGTATCGATTAGTTATACTACTGCTATATATCAATACTTGACGCTGCGCGCAGCGTATCGATGCTTTGTCTCGATACTTTGGTGCTGCTAACATACAGTGGCAGCGCAGCTCAAGTCATTTAGTTATTTTTCTGTCTGAATTTAAGAATTTTTGTTTTTGTTTGTCAGAATAATACTAATACGGTTAACCATAATAGTAATACTGTATGCTAATGATAGCACAGTAGAAAAAACGGCAGAAAAACGTACGTGGTAAATTAAATTAAACGTGTGTGCTCGGTGGCAAATGCTTCTTGTGGATGGGCAAGTGTGTGTGTGTGTGCGTGAACTAAACGCAAAAAGTGTAAAACGGATGAAATAGTTAAACAATTAAGCTCAACTGCTATTGGAAACCTCATGTGTGCATCATCTATATGAATTGTATTGTTCAAAGTGCAGAATAGCGTTATCTAGGGGTAAAGTAAACTCCTTTTCCTTATGCATGTCGTGACATTTGTTCTGTATGTGTGCGTACTTGAGCGTGTGGCTGTGTGTGTATGCATATACGACATCCGACGTAGTCGCTTTCGTATGTTTCACTGTATGTGTGTGTGTACAACAATGTTCACATTTTTTTCTTTTGTTGCCTGCTCCACGAATTATGGGGCTGGCTCTCGCTCGGTGCAGGTGCAGAAAAGTGGGGTTAGGGCCAGTACAATTTAGTTAGTAAGTTTACAAACTTTTAAGAATTTTCATTTCTATATCTATTTCCCCCATGCCCATGGTCATTTGCTGTGTGACGTAGATAAATGAACAGAAAGAAGAAAAAGAAAAAAAGAAAGAAGACGACATTAATGGATGGACAAGGTTCGGGGCATTCATTCTCGCTTTAGTCCTGTGGTCGCAGCACAGGTAACACGAATGCCGTGTGAAAGCATACACAAAATGAAGCAAAACGTAAACGAAGACCCTTTAAACCTTCAGAGGAGGTCGCTCAATAGTAACATTTCTGAGAAGGGGAGGTTTCCCGACATTCTCTTGCACATCTGATCTCTTTTACGAGTGATGCAACTCAGGATCTACACACACTCACGTGTTTGCGTGTGTTCGTCTGTATGGGTGCCTATGTGTGTGTGCGCAAGGAGAAAATTCCTATGCGATCGCTCTTTGTTGTTTGACTGCTGCAAATGCACTGATCCCTTTTTGCTGTCTGTACGCGTGTGCGTGCCTAAGTGTGAGTGTACGCGGTATATTGATGCTGTGCGCGTACGAGCGAGAGAGGGAGACGCCTGAGCATGACAGTCGATGCTGATGACTTTGATGTGCGAGAGAGGGAGCGAGAGAGAAGAGAGTAGCGCAAGCAGATAGCGGCTTAAATTGCAAGGTGTACGCTATCGTTGTTGTAGTTGCTGCCGTTGCTGTTGTTGTTGGTGTGTATCTTTATTGCTTCTTCTTCTTCCGTCCGTTACTTTTGCTCTTGTCATCGCATGCCTTTACCTTTTCTGCCTGGGCTACTGATCTCTATGTGTATGTGTATGTGTGTGTGTTTGTGTATGGGAATGTGTTTGTATGTTTGTTGTAATACCCGTTTCATCTTCTTTGCCCATTCTACTTCGCGCCGTTTTAGCTTCTTCCGCCGATGCACTTTTGTGATTTCCTTTGCCAGTTTTTTGATTGCTAAGAAATACGACAACGGCTGCTGCGGCGGCTGTTGTGTTGTTGTTGTTGTTATTGTTGTTATTGCTGCTGCTGCAGCTTTACAAACATTTTTCCCACTGCTTTTCCTTTTCTTTCGATTTTTGATTTTTTTTTTTTTTTTGCAATTCTCAGAGTCTCATCATCATCATGCGAATGTGATAGAGAGACAGAGAGTGAGAGCGAGAGAGAGGGACAAAAGACAGACAGATAGACAGAAAAGTGTCTGCACACGATCTCCTCTCATCGTGCTTATTACTTTTGCCGCTTGCCTCTTTCGTCGTGTTTGCTTCGCGTTGCGTGGGAATTTTTTACAGAGCGTCGCTGTCGTAGCTCCAAGACGGCTGCTTCATCCTTCTAGCGGGTTTTATATTTTTCGGCTGAGTAAAAAATAAAGGATAGCTTCATAATTAATTCTTGTAAGTTGAAGATTCATCATTTATGTGCGCCTAGAGGTAGATACTCTTATAGAATTATTTGCATATTTTTATTGAACCCGGTTTTAGAATAGCTTCTGTTCGTGAATTGGCCACAGAGAAGCACATTGCATATCTTGAAAGGGGTAAAAAGATAATAACCGCTTGAGCACATATTTATTTTCATTTAAGGCGTAACAAGTTTCTGATATTTTTTAATTCTAAACTATTTTACACAAAACAATTTGCCTAAAGTTAATCAAAAAATATATCTCCCCCATTATTGTAATCTAGAGACTTGAAATTTAGAATATATGCTCATTGGTAGCGTCGTCTAATAGGTGCTAAGCAAATGTAAAGATACTCTAATAAATAAAACATAAACTATGTTATTTGGGTTGTTAGATACTTGGTATTTAGTAATTTGTAGGTCAAGAAAAATATATATGAGGTATATTGATTTCCATCAGGTATCTTTCAAAATGCTAGAGCTAGAGCTCCAAAAGTGAGTTACTTTTAAGACCTTTTCAAATCAAAACATTTCAGTTGAGCAACATTTGTATTTGTACATTATTTTGACCTGCAATAGAAATTATTTAACTGATGCTCAACCATTTTGTTTTATTGTCGATAACCTTTTGCAGGCGAGCAAAGCTGCAGAGCACGAAGAGAGATTGACTTTACCTGCACGTTGTATTATGGAAAAAGGATGTTCAGCTGCTAGCAGTAATTGTTCAGGTGCCGAGGACGACGCTCAGCAGGAGCAGAGCCGCCGAAGCAGCAGCAGCAGCAGCAGCAGCAGTTGCAATAGCAGCTACAGCATTGATTTAAAACCACCAACACCTCAAGCATCACAGCCAAAGGCGAGCACTAGCCAAGCGGTAGACGGAACAGTAACTGAATCTATGTCCAACCTGAGGGAGCCGGACGTGGAGGACTGTGTCTCTTCGAATTCGCAACATGGCTTTGCCGTCGTGCTCGATGATGAGTCCAGTACCGAGACCACCGGCGTGCTGGAAACATACGAGATAAGCTCTTCCAATTCACTGCCCAATAGCACGGGAGCCGGTGCCGGCGCTGAGACAATGGGCGTCGTTGTTGTTGTGCCCGTAGACGATAGCTCCTCGACAGACACGCTCAATGGTAATGAGAACGAGCGCATGAGCCGTGACGCTCCATCCGAGGAGGAAGAGGAGGAGGAGCACAACAGCCCGATGAATAATGTTTTCTTTAATGTTAACGACGAGCCGCCCGTTGTATGCCTTATAAACGATGACGACGATTTCGACGAGGAGGAAATCGTCGATGAGGATGAWGATGATGATGAGGATGAGGATGCTGCGGAGCGCTCCTGCCCCAATACATCACAAGTGGATGGTACTGCTGCTGCCACTGTTGCTAATGGCATCATCACGACAGCCGATGGTTCGAAAATATTTCTGGAAACACCTGTCGTCGAGGAGCCACAGCAATCACATACTCATGTCGGCGGTGCCACAGTTGGCGGCAGTGCTGCGCAGTCGGAGCTGCTGGCGGGCAAACCGAAGCGGCTTAGCGATGAATTCGAGGCGGAAGAGCAGCAGCAACAGCTGCAGGGCAATGCACCAAGAGGAGGAGTTAAGTCTGAGCCAGGGCAGGGGCAGGGACAGGCAGTCGATGTAGCAACTAGTTCGTTGCACGATCGTCAAATGTCCGTGCGGCTTAAGCAGATGAGCCTCACGGCCAGCGCCGAGGCGTCAGCTGCCAATGCAGCAACAGCAACAAACAGCACCAACAACAGCAACAGCCCGACCAAGGCGGATATTGAGTCCATGGATCGCATTGAGCGTCGCGACTTTGAGACCGAGCAGCGTCTGACCGGCGGCATCATACTCGGCACCAATTCGCTGGTCAACAAGAATCGCCTCAATCTAAGTCTGATCAATCGCGCAGCAGCAGCAGTGGGCGCTGGCGGCGGGGCTGGAGTGGCTGGCGATGATTGGCCCAGCAGTAGCCAGGCACGCGCCTTCTCCTCAGATAGCAAGGTAAGGATCAATAATATTGTTACAGAAGCTATATTAAAGCTGCCTTCCTTACCCCCTCCGTAGTGCACCTACAAGGATCTATCGACGACGCCCACGAGCAGTCGCAAGTATACAAACAGCCGACTGAGCAAGTCCACTGCCAAACTCAACCTGGGCTCAACGCTGGCCAATGCCAACAGCAATGCCTGTCCACAGCACAGTTCCAGCTCCATCTCCAGCTGCAGCTCCAGCAGCAGCAACAGCACCAACAGCAACAATTCCAAGCTGCCCATTGTGGTCATTGTGAAGCCCAACGGGAGCAGCAACGCTTCCACTTCCACAAGCAACAACCGCACAGACGTCTACACGAACACCAACTCGAACGACGTCAATCTGTCCGCGAGCTGCCAGCATACGGGCAAAGATGTGGCCATCCCTTCGTTCAGCTCGGTGGGCTCCCAGACAAGCAGCCAGGATACCAGCGGCTGCAGTCGCACCAGCGTCTTGCCTTGTGGCAGCAGCAATGCCGGCTTTCTGGACGTGGATGCACAGCCCTCGACGTCAGCCACTTCGACTGCGACTTCGACTTCAGCTCGCTGTCATTATACAGCGGCAGCCACAGCGAAGGTGCCCACAAGGCAGGTGAATGCCAGTGCCCAGACCCAGGAGCGTTTTCTTGCACGCAGTGGCCTGGCAGCTGATGGAGCTGCCAATGTCAACGTCAATCGCAGTCGCCGTCGTGTGGAAGCTGCACGCAATAACTCCAATGATGACATTGTGCTTGACATTGTTGTTGAGGAGAATTCAGGCAATGCTGATGGAGGCGGTGGTGTAGGCGGCGGAAGCGGCGGAGTTGTTGAACCTGGAGATTATAATGCCGAAGAGCCGTGGGGCAATTGCGACGAGGAGAACAATTGTTCGGACCTGGAAGAGATATGCACTTGCCAGAACAGCATATTGGCCAGCAGTCGCAGCGGCAGCAATGCCAGCCTGAGCGAAACACTCGACATGGATGCCATGGATAGCTATCATGAGGAAGCCATTGCCATGCCGCCAATAGAGCAGCAGCAGCAACAGCAGCAGCGCAAGCGTAAATACAACGAGAGTCGTCTGCTGGATGGTGACTACTCGATGTGCATAACGGGCAGTGGCGGCGCTGGTAGTGGTGCTGGTGCTGGTGGCGGTGCGGGCGGTGTTGGGAGCAATTCGGGATCTGGCGATAACAGCCGTAAGCGCATTGCTTATGATTTCGCCTCTACCCCACGCTCCTCAACGCAGCCCCTAGGCAACGCTGCCATGATGACGCTAACGATGACGCCAACCGGCATTTCCGCCACGTCACTCGGCGGTTGCTCACCCGCTTTGGGTAGGCGTACGCCGCGCGCTCTGATGCCCACGCGCGATAACCCGCCACCCGAGCTGCAGCACTGGTTGGCACAATTTCAGCGCTGGTCCCATGCCGAACGTCTGCTGGCCTTGGATCGTCTGATCGACCATTGCGATCCTTCACAGGTGCGGCACATGATGAAGGTGATCGAGCCACAATTCCAACGTGACTTCATCTCGTTGCTGCCACGGGAACTGGCGCTGTTTGTGCTCTCATATCTGGAGCCCAAGGATTTGTTGCGCGCCGCACAAACTTGCCGCAGTTGGCGTTTCCTCTGCGACGACAATCTGCTGTGGAAGGAAAAGTGCCGGAAGGCACAGATCCTCACCGAGACACGCAGCGATCGTCCCAAACGAGGACGAGATGGTAACATGCCACCAATCGCATCGCCATGGAAGGCGGCGTACATGCGGCAGCACATCATCGAGATGAATTGGCGCTCGCGGCCAGTGCGCAAGCCGAAGGTGCTCAAGGGTCATGACGATCATGTGATCACATGCCTTCAGTTCTCCGGCAATCGCATTGTATCCGGCTCCGATGACAATACGCTTAAGGTCTGGTCGGCAGTCAGCGGCAAGGTAAGACAGCAGTCAAGATAGAACCTTGGTCGGGTCATTGTCTAATCTCAACTCAACTTCTGTCCTTCTCTAGTGTCTGCGCACCTTGGTGGGGCATACTGGCGGCGTTTGGTCCTCGCAAATGTCTGGCAATATCATCATATCGGGCAGCACGGATCGCACGCTCAAGGTGTGGGACATGGAGAGCGGCAGCTGTGTGCACACGCTCCAGGGACACACCTCAACGGTGCGCTGCATGCATTTGCATGGCAATAAGTAAGTGATTCTGGCAGAGCTGGCTGTGCAGCACCAGACTTACCTCATCATCTCCATCTTCATCTAGGGTGGTCAGCGGCTCACGAGATGCAACGCTGCGTGTGTGGGACATTGAGTTGGGCACGTGTCTGCATGTCCTGGTTGGCCACTTGGCTGCGGTACGGTGTGTGCAATATGATGGCAAGCTGATTGTGTCGGGCGCCTACGACTATATGGTCAAGATCTGGCACCCAGAGCGACAGGAGTGCCTGCACACGCTGCAGGGTCACACCAATCGTGTCTACTCCTTGCAGGTAGAGTCAACTAATCATCCAGTTCCTCTGCAGCCTAACCAATTCGAATTCCTATTTTGTGCAGTTTGATGGTCTTCATGTCGTCTCTGGGTCACTGGATACCTCGATACGTGTATGGGACGTGGAGACTGGCAATTGCAAGCACACTCTAATGGGCCATCAGAGTCTCACCTCCGGCATGGAGCTGCGACAAAATATACTCGTCTCTGGCAATGCCGATTCCACGGTCAAAGTGTGGGACATTACAACAGGACAATGCCTGCAAACGCTATCGGGTAATTTGATTTTACTTGATTAACTGATCGATGATCTTGGGCATTCATTAACTGTTATTTTTGTTGCTTTAGGCCCCAATAAGCATCAGTCAGCGGTCACTTGCCTGCAGTTCAATTCACGCTTTGTGGTCACCAGCTCCGATGATGGCACCGTCAAGCTGTGGGATGTCAAAACGGGCGATTTTATACGCAATTTGGTTGCTTTGGATTCGGGCGGCTCCGGTGGAGTGGTCTGGCGCATCAGGTAGCTAATTAATGTTTGTTCACGAGTCTGTCCGACTGTGCATATGAATTGTAAATGGAGGGAGAGGAATATATAGCCCGGGGTGCTTTTCATAAAGATTGATAGAGATATAAAATCCTGTTTGACTGCCAGATGTACATTGAGAAACATGCATAACCCAAGCATAACTATTGGTTTCTAAATACTGGTATGTGGCATTTATTTACATATATTTCAACCTTTTATTCACAGGGCGAACGATACAAAGTTGATTTGTGCCGTGGGTTCACGCAATGGTACGGAGGAGACAAAGCTAATGGTACTGGACTTTGATGTGGAGGGCGCTTGTGTCAAGTGTTCATAGGAACAGTTCCAGTTCCAGTTCCAGCTCGAGTTCAGTTCAGTTCAATTTGCAAACTGTGTGTGCAAAATAAGGCGCACTCTACTCTATGTTATGATAAACGCGAGAGCCGCTACAATGCTTTAGCTCGTTATGGGAGCGAGCCAGCCGGAGGCGATATCACACACACACACACACACATACACACACACCCAAACTCAACTAACACAGACACACACCACCAACACACACTTATACAGATGACTCGTCTATCTGTCATGCATAATCGAAACGTTATCGTCGCTTGCCTTGCCAACAAATGCAGCTGCTCACACACACATATATATATACATATACACATGCCTACACACGTTCACATACAAAACACACACACACATACATTTGGGAGTTGTGAGTGCGAGTGTAAAGACGTTTTCAATGTTATCATTTGTTTCAAATGCGTTGCTTTTATATAGCCAAAATTTGTTTTCCACAAAAATAGAATAATTTTTGCTTCTTAGTTCTTATTGATTATGAATTACGTACATAAAAACAAAAAAACGATCATATATATATATAAATATATTATATC